CCCCAATGACCCACTTCCTCCAGCCACCCCCATCTGCCTTAGGTTACCACTGACTGAGTTAAAGCTCTTATAACCCAGTCATTTCTCCTCTAAAGCTTCTTGCATTGTCTCACAAATGAACTTTTGGGGGGCATATTACACCCAAACTATAACATACAGTTTCATCTAACTAGAACCCAAGTGATAATCAAGAAGTAAATATAATTGAGTTCTGGTTAATCAAAGAAAAGAAACATCTCCATTGATAATGTGAATTTATATATTATTATCTGTTTGCCATTTGAAACCTGCTAATGTACTTATCTTCTTGGTAGATGAGTGAGGAGCAGAGGGTAAGGAAAGCAGAAAGAAATGTCAGGCAACGTCATTTTGGGGTTAAGTGAGATGAAGGGCTGGTACTCATGACACCCGTATTTTTCTGGCTAATTTTATTATTGCCCAGGATCATAACCACAAATACCTGTGATAGTGGCTCTTCATTATTATTTTCCACTGAGTTTGCTATTGTTTTTGGCAAGTCCAAAGGCATGGTGCTTTTCTGTAATTTGCTTCAAATCAAGGCATTTCCCCCCAGCATCATGGATTCTGGTCCTTATCCCGCCCAGCCCTGGAAGAACTATCAAAAACAAGTGGTGGTGTATGGGAATGGTCCTAGGTTGAAATGCTGCTCCCACTTCTTCCCCAGGTTCATCACTGCAGTCCTTAGTACAACTTACTACTTCCTTTCTTCAAGGAAAATTCCATTTGACCCTTAATATGACTGACTTTATGAAGTTTAGCATCCTCATTTTTCCAGCATTCTCACTTTTCCTTGAATCCAAGCTTCTTTATTTCTTGTATGCCTTTGGTCATTTTCCAGAATCCTGAAATGTTTGTTTCTTTGACAGTTTTGTGCAGTTTTATCATTGTCATTTGAGGAGAATTGCTGAAAGCAATCTGATTCTGATTCTATATCCTTTATTTTAAAAGCAGAGATTGAATCCAGGGGTGTTTTACTATTGAGCTACTATTCCCAGTCCTTTTGATTTTTTATTTTTGAGACAGGATCTCACTAAGTTATTGAGGATTTTGCTAAATTGCTGAGGCTGACCTTGAACTGATCCTCCTATCTTACCCTTTGAGTCACTGGGATTACAGTCATATGCCACCCTGTCTGGCTCTAGGTTCATTTTCATTTGAAATATGAGAAGTTATATTTTTGGTGAGACTTGCATTAGAAAACCTATCTAGGTTATGAATGAATAACTTAAACCATTTCCACCTCTGGGTCCAAAACTTGTGAATTTTAGAACTAGAAAGGATCTGAGTTCCACCTTCTCTCTTTTTCACATTTATGATTGTAAACCTGAGTGCCTTCTGCAGATTGTTGATGTCATTGATTTAGAAATAGCTCATGCATGAGTCAGTCATTGCTTTCCCCTGCCCTCTACAGCAGAGGAACTGATGTTCTTCCTCTGTGCTCAGCCCTCTGACTCTGAGCTAATCCAGGTCTAAGTGCAGAAGGATTCTCAGCCCTGCCCAGGGGTGAGTCTCATGTGAATTGTGGTGTATTGAACCAGAAGCACAAGCAGTCTTTGTTTCCAGGAGATTTGGATGCGCATTCTAGTTTGAGAACTACTGGCATGGTGTAAAGGCTCAAAAGGTGTTTACTGCTGCCATGAGTTATGTATACTAGACATTTTGATAGATAGTAAGTTGCTGTTTCTTACTATAGCTAAGATCAATTGCATGCAAGACACCATTGTTTTGTTCACTTGGGCAAAGAACTGCAATTTCAATTATGTAACAGTGCTTTCTTAATATTGCAGTTTATTTCATACATGTTGAAAGAATCTCTAGAGGTGATTTTTAAGCATCACATATCACTTTCATCCATATAAAGAAAGAAAAATACAAGTAAAATACATTGATTAAAGCATTCCTTAAAAAATTCTTTACATTGGAAGAGAAACTCTTCTGA